AATGAGAAACGGTCTCTTCCTTCTTGAAAAGCTGCTGTTGGATTTACACGAGGCCTCAGCCGGGCTGCAAATCAAGCCGCAAATTGTTTTAGTTATTTTTAAAGCAAAAATGTCAAGTATTTGTTTTTTGTTTTTTTTTCATAGCCTCTCAACCATGAAGATTTGATGCTTTTTCTTTCTGTCACACAAGTTTAAACTGAAAATCTTTTCATTCTCGGACTGATGGTCAGACAGAACACGACAATCTATGGCATCGCTCAGGTTAAACTCTTCTTTCCCATCTTTCTTTTATTATCTGATGTGCTGCCTGTCTTTGCTGCTCTGTGGCTGCACAGTGCAACTTCCTGTGTAAGGCCGCTGGTTTTAGAGCAGCAAAGAAGAATTGAACTCTGGGAAAACTGCTGTTTTATGTAGGTGTCATATTATAAAGTCTATCAATACACATTACGTGGTATTGGATCGGTGCATAGATTGTGAACTCGCAGATACCTGATCCGGGGTTTTAGACAGTGTCTGATGTGTTTCCGATACAATAACTATGTTCATGGGAAAAATAATCATCAGATTAATTGATAACAGAAAGATTTATTAGTTGCATTCCCAAATCAATCAGTTGAATTAACTTATAGCAAATTAATTAAAGTTGTCTGTCAAGCAAAAATACAGCTTCTCAGATGTGAGGATCCGTTGCTTTCCTTTGTTGTTCAAGGATTGTGTTTGTGTTTGTGTTTAAGAGAAGCAATAAATATTTGTAACTATTCGCTGCCATTTTATTGATTTAAAAGACAAATTTTCATAAATAAATCTTCACAGATTAACTTGTAATGAGAGTAAGTGTGAGTTGCCGCCGTCCTGCAGGTATTTCTGTGATCCAGAGAGAGAGGTCGGCTGAGCGGGCTCGATTTACTCAGTGACAACAGGACGCATGGACACGCGGTCGCGGCTTGAAACCAGCGAGCCTTCATTTAAATCAGCAAGACTCCTTTTAGCAGTGCACTCAAACACAGCCGCACAGTTGCAGCCGGCGCGGGCCTGGATCAATGCAAGGATGTTGCTGCAGACCTTTGTTGTGCAGAACCAAATAAATGTTAAGTTAAAAGGTAGTTGACTCGAGCCCGACCAGCTACAATCAGTGGGCTGATTTTAAGACACACAAAAGCCACATTTGCTTAAAAAAAATGCCCCAGAGGAACAATAGGAGCCTCTCCTCCCCTGAAGTTATAGTGTTCAGAGCTGCGTCGGTCCCGGCAGCACTGAATTTTTTTTTTTATTTCACTCGCGCAATTGATGATGATTGCTCCAGTGGCTGCACACAAGGAGGGAACAGGGACACGTCTCCGTGACCTTAATATATACATGGCACAAGTGCAGCAGAATCACTTCAGTCTTTACGCAGTTTAGTGCAACGCAGGTCTTGGGAAATAGCTGAACAAAACATTATGCAAAAAAAAAAAAAGGAAGAAGCCAGTGGAGTAATTTATTTGTCATCAAGCAGCTCAGTCTCTTTTTATAGATTTACACATCCTGTAAAAACATTCTGCTCACATGATGATCTCTCTGAACTCCTGAACCTGTCCACCACCACGTGTTTCATTTATCCGAGTCTAAAGTTAATTGTGTGACTCTGAGGATTGTTTAATGAAATCTTTTTTTTTTTCTCATCCTGTAACTCTGGTAACTGTGTCCTGCCCAAAGACGCATCAAATAAGGCTGCAAATAACAGTTGCTCTAATTGCCAGCTCATCTGTTGATTTTTTTGTGGCTGTAAAATTTCTCCAAATTGTAAAAAAAAAAAAAAAAAAAAAAAAAAAAAAAAAGTCCATCCGATGTTCCCAGAGAAGTGTTGGTATCCATGAGAAGATATATTCGTGGATTTAAACCAATTGATTAAAAATAGAGTCGATTTTAAGGAAAATAGTCAAGGATCCAGGTGGGCGGGGCTTGGTGACTGCTTTGTTGTGACATCACAAAGTTCCAGAAGTCCTGACGGCTGGTTTTAAGGCTCAGTTTCTGAATACAGGCTGTGTGCATTTCTCTGTGGACTGAGGCTTTGATACTTTCACAGTATTAATATAGAAGCTAGACCTGATCTATAATCACACTACACATGGAAATCTCACTTTAAACATAACAAGACCTTTAATGCATATTTTAAAGCTGTGATTGTCCTGTGTCTTCTGGATTGTGCCCGCCCTGCTATTATTGTTTTTTATGTGAAAAGACTGACTATGATGGCAAAACGTACTGTCTTGACAAAGATGAGCCGGTCGGTTGCCGGGCAGCAGTATCCTCTCATCAGTGCGGGCTGACAGCAGCTGTTAGGCCCATTTCACCACAGGCCGGTCTGAAAGAGCCTTTTCTGCTAAGACGAGAGCCTCCACTTCACAGCAGTGAATAGCCGTCCAGCTGCACTTGGTTAATGCACATGTGTGTGTGTATGTGTGTGTGTCTGTGAGTGTGTGTGCGTGTGAGGCTGGGGTTCATCTGAGTGGGGTCTTTGTCCCACCCTCCCTATCCTCTCTCTATGTGACTCCGAGGAGGGAATTAACATGACAAGCCAACACCACCGGCCAAATGCAGTCTAGCATCCTTTAGCAGAGTTTGCAGAATCCCTCAACTTTGGGCCAAAATGCAGGAGGGGGCAGGGGGGGTCACCTCTAGCTACTAGCAGAAGTAATGGTACATTTTGGCAGGCTACCAAACATCAGTGGACTGTCCCACTTTATTATCAAAGACATCATCTTTTTTTTGGGTTTTATTTTCCTAGTTTTGCCCGACGCTCCTGCTGGTTCTGATGACCACCGTCACTGCTGGCGTTGTGGGTCCGCAGTGACACCGGTCAGCCACACAAGCAGTCACACAGACTCAGTCTTATTGCCCAAACACACTAATGAATCTTTTGGCCAAGAGATTGTATGTACACCGCTCAACTCGCACAAGGTTTGTTTTTCTGAGCGGCGCTAGATTTGTTTGATGAGAGTTACGGTTGTCAATTAGCAGTTAATCTTTTCTAAACAGCTCATTCTCCAGAAGTTGTCCCTTGCTACGTGTGATCCCAGTCAAAGAAGCTTGCTTGGATTTCTGTGGCTAACGAGGCTCCTCTTCAACTGCAAGCTTAACATGGCGGCCTTTGTGATCGTAATTAATCATAAACAAGCCGGTTTTATTGTCGTATTTTAAACTAGACGTTTGACTAAACGATAATGAGCGGAAAGGACAAAGCTCAAAATATCATCTGTCACTTTTTGTAATCGGTGTAGATGTTTGTGAAATTGAAAACACGGATTGAAAACAGATGGCAGAGACACTGTTTCGCTGCTTCATCCTCGAAGCGTAATTATATCACTAGTCGCCGTCGTCCCTTCCCGTCTTACATAAACTATATATTTGCTGCTAGAAGAGAAATACATCTCAACTGTGGCCAGGATGTGTGGTAATAATAATAATGATGGTGATGTCTGGTGTTTAAGAGCAGCATGGATCAGCCTGTCACTGTGAGACTTGGCTGATGTGGATCACTGACTGTGAGTTGTAGTTTTTCCAGTTGACAGGATCTGATGTTTCTGTAAATGGCACTTGGAAATGAATTGGGTAGAAACTTGACTTTGCTGCTGTCGGCATTTGGGATGTAAAGTTTCTGTTTTGTTTAGTTGAACCTATAAAACTTCCAGGGCTGCAGCTAATGATCGTTTTCATTATGGACTAATCTGCAGATTATTTTCTTGATGAAGCGATTAATCACTTTGTTTATAAAATGCCAGAAAATAGTGAAAAATGGCAGCTATGATTTCCCACAACCCTAAGTGATGCATTCAAATGGCTGATGTTTTTTTTTGTTTGTTTTTTTTGACCAAAATAAAAAATCCCAAAACCTGAAAGATGAAACAACAAATCATCACATTTGAGAAGCTGGAACCAACAAATGTTTGTAATTTTGCTTGAAAAATGACTAAAACAGCGACTCGATTATGAAACTAATCCATTAATCAACTGATAATTGCAGCTCTAAAATTTCCGCTGCATTTTGAATTGTACATACTGACATTTATCACATTTGGCAGTCGCTGACAGCACTGATTTATTCATTTATTTGTTTATTTGAGAGGGATAATACATGTTAATGAACATCAGTACAAATTTTGCAATGTAAACATGCTGGATTGTAGCAAAAATGTGCAAATTCCCTCGTCCTCTAGACAGGTAACATAAAACAAAAACCATTACAAGTCACAATACACTACTCTGAATATAAAATACACAAAATACTAAAAAATAACTTACTGACGAGACCTAAACTCTCTTGTGCTGATTAGGGCTGTAGATATATAACATTTATCTCCCGACTGGCCATCGGTTCAGTCAGTGTGAGCTGATGTGTGACTCTACGGCCTCCTGCTTCCTGCAGGAGCCAGAGTAACTCAAGGCTGTTCGCTGAGCTAATAATGATATTCTCACACAGAAAAATCAACCACCAGCAGGTCAAAGCTGACAAATTCTACCACTGTGTCAGTCAATCTAAGGTGTTGACGTTTTAAATGTTAAAAGTCGTTTTTTTTTTTTATTATTCATTGTGAAATTGTGACCGTTGAATTTCAGTAAAGGCTGCCAGTTAAAGCTCAGTTTCCTTCCTGGTTTTCTACCCACAATGCATCCTCACTCTGTAGTTAAGGCTTACCCTGGTCCCCCCCGGTGTGTTGTGTAATTTCACGTCTGAGCAGTAGGGCTCTCTGGGAAATGCCAAACAGCGTATATGTTTTTTGTGTGGAAACGTTTTATGTCTTGGAATAACAACTGTCCTGGAGTCTCGGGTCTTTTTGATGTTTTGTCTTGAACTCTTTTACCAGTCTTCTCTGTAGACATGTCCTAGTTTTATACGAACGCCCAGCATTTGATTCTACAAATATCTTTTCTAAAGTGTTGTCCTTTGGTGTAGAAGAGATTCTCTAGTATCTGATAGCGAGCTCTAACCCACCTGTCTTCTCTTTGTGTCTCCTCTGCAGTAAGCATGTTTCTCAACACCCTGACGCCCAAGTTTTACGTGGCTCTGACGGGCACTTCCTCCCTCATATCAGGACTCATATTGGTAAGAGACTGTATTTTCACTTTTTATGGGATTGTATTGAAGCTGATAACTGGTATCAGTTGAAACTAATTATGATGTCAATAGAAATAGACATTGATGTTTTTCTCAAAACATGGGTATCACTTTTTGAAAATGATCAAACTGTACACTAGTAAAACAATAGGTGTGACTCTTGGCTAATAACTACAGTACTTAAAGGTTCTGTTAACGGTTGTCACTGCTACTAGACCACCAGCATCTTAGACCAAATCCTCTACAACACAATAGCCGATTAAAAAAAAAATACAACTATTAGCTCACGCTAGCATTGCCGTGATATGTCCACAGCAATACTAGCGATAGCAACATTTGCCGAACACATTTATAGCATGGGTAACAGCAAGTTAGCCAATGTTATCATACCCACTGTAGTTACTAATGAAAACAGACATATAAAGTGATTTCCAAGTCAAGTGGGGACCCTTTAGCAGCTCAGAGGGTAGAGAGAGCCAGACCAGTATTGGCTCCACGGTTGGACTGGGAAACAAATTCAGGCTTGCACTCATCCGCTGGGACCATCCCACATGAATGACACTAATGGAGCCAGTAAAGACACTGATGGAGACGGTAAAGACACTGATGGAGACGGTAAAGACACTGATGGAGCGGGTAAAGACACTGATGGAGCCAGTAAAAACTTAAAAAACTTTCTGGATGTTTTAATGTTCCACTGGTCAACTGGCATTTGAGGTGGTAGTCCTCATGGCCGGTCCATCTGTGCTCCGGTCTCATCTCTTTATTAGTCTGAGGCCTTTTTCAGCCAAAAGAAGTAGTTTCTTCAGTGGAGGAAATTCTGGAAGGTCGCTTCCACCTGAGCGCTGTGTACTGCACTGAGCCATCTGGCGTGTGGGCGGTCCCTCTGTGTTTATAAACGTGGGGAGGGCCAACACTTTTAACATGAGGGATTCACATGCACTAACACGCGTGTGCCGCCATCCCGGAAACCAAAGCAAAGAACAGAGAAACTCAGATTACAACACACACAGAGAGAGGGTGACTTCACTCCTCAGGACGCCATTACTCCATTATACTTTTACATAGAACATAATTGTTTGCTGCTACATTATTATTTTAAATCTCATTTACAGAAGCTTTTAAGCCTCTTGCTGTTATGGTCATTGCACATTGTTCTGGTTGCATCAGCTAAATGCAAAAATCCCAATTTAAGTTTGATGACTGTGCACTCTTTCTTGACTTTCTAATTCATAATATTAAAAAGACAAAAATCAATTTTCAGCTGGCTCCCTATGAGGCTTTATGAACCCAGGTTGTAATTTGTCAGAGCTATTATCACAGGTTCAGAGGCCACAAGGAGCTGGGCACAGAGGAAATCCATACTCGTAAAGTCCCTCACAAGACGAGCTGCAAAGAAATGTCAGCCTCTGGCATTGTCGCTGTCCGTCGCCCCGGCCGATCACACCATGCAACGCATTTTTAATGTGCTTTTCAAACTACTGACAACACATATTTTGGGGATGCGATAGAGGTCTCCATCTCTGTGCATTAAACACCCTGCTAACTCCAATACTGACTGAGCTGCCCCTGAGCAAGGCACTTTACCCTCAGCTGCTGCAGAGAAGGCAAACAGTGCAAAATGTCGGGTTTAACGTGCATCTGAGATATGGTTAGTGTTGCAACTATCCCTCAGTCCCCAAGCTCTGCAGAGAGCGCCCTGTCTGCTTACGTCGGCGCTCAAATATAAATAGAATAAAGATGTGACAGAGATTATCAAAGCAGGGAGGCGTCATAATGAAACTGTTAGCACTGCTTCTCCTACTTATGCAGGTATTTTATCTCTTTCAAGTTCTTCACAGAGACAGCCAACTGTGCAACAGTGGTTGGTCTGTATTTTAAAATAGCTCCTCTCTTAATTAACTCACTCTCTCTTCCCTGTGGGCTATTGGCCAATATGCATAGGCTGCTTAGAGATTGAGTCGAGCTTTGCACATGCTCTGTGAGACGGTTAAGAAATGTGGAAGCCAATTGGTTTCGTCAGCGTCGCGCTGGTTATTTCTCTGTAATTGGAATAGATGTTTATGTCCCAGTTCAGTCATTTTTCCACTGAAGAGTTTGAAATACCCCCCCTCCAAATTTGTTATCACTTCCTCCCTCAAGCAGAGGCTGACAGTATAGCAGCTTTACCAGATGGCATCGCTACATCTATTAAAATAGCTCTCATCAGTGAAATCTGGATGTTTGTCTCACATAAAAACTCATTAAAACTAGTACGTAAATCAGTAAATATGTGTTCATTTATAACGTACATTTATTTTAAAACCAGGGTTGCAAAGTGAAGCATATGAAAACATAATTTGATGAAAGAGAAACTAAAAATAAAAAAAAACAGAGTAAAAACAAAGAGTAGTGAATCGGAGCAGGAAGCATCAAGCTACCAGCTAAACACTCTTATATTTGTTTTTGGCTGACGAGGTATTTTTATGAGCAAATATAAATTTTCTGTCACTGAATGAAAATCATGTTGAACAGTTCAATTAAAGATGCTCTCTCCCTCTCTCCCTCTCAGATCTTTGAGTGGTGGTATTTCAGGAAATATGGGACCTCCTTCATAGAGCAGGTGTCTGTGAGCCACCTGCGCCCCCTGCTGGGCGGAGTGGACAGCAGCTCCCCCAGCAACTCCAACACCAGTAACGGGGAGGCTGACTCCAATCGGCAAAGTGTTTCTGGTAAGAGCTGATACATCAGAGCCCAGCCGGTACACGAGAGCTGACATTATCTGTTGATTAGTCGACTGAAAGGAAATTAATTGCTGATTATTCTCATAATTGATTCATTTAACTCATTTTTTTAAGCAAAAAATGCCAAAAAAATTCACTCTTACAGCTTCTAAATGTGCCTCGTCTACAATAGTTAACTTTACATTTTGGGAGTTTAATCTGTCCATCAGAAGAAAAAAAAATCAATCTGAATAAACAGTTTCTTCTTCTACTTAATGTGGAACTGTCACCCGGATCCCCCATCCTCTCCTCATTAGCGCTCCCTTGTGGTGAGGAGTGCCCACCATCACCAGCCTGATATCAGTCCCTTCCTGTTTTCATTACTTACAGACTAAACAAACAGCACTCGACACGCGCTGTAAGTCCATCAAGTCTTAATTAGCTGTTCCCCAGCAGCTCTACACCCTGAGACCCAAACCATAAAAAGCTGCACTACTTAACGTAGGATCATTATCAAATAAGTCTTTCCCAATCAGTGACCTCATTATTAGTCATTAGTTGGATCCCATAATCCTCGGTGAAGCTTGGCTTGAGTTGAATAACGGAGCGGCTATTCTTAAAGTTTGGCTTCACTGAAGTCCCCAGAGTTGATAAGAAAGTGGGAGGAGGAGGAGGAGCTGCTCCTCCTGGTAATATACATATATATATATATATATATATATACATCTTTGCGTCTGTCTATTTCTCCTGACACCGAAACAAAATGTCAGTGAATCAAAAACTAGTACATCATCGTTTTAGTCAAGTCTGTTTTATTGAGTAAAAAAAAAAACCAAAACAAACAAAAAAACAGAGAATACAAGAAATAGTTTCCAACATAAATTCAGACATAAGAAAAAATACTGTCTTAAGAATGTATTGACCGTCTCTTTCTTTCACTGCTTCACAGTCCGGCTCTCACCTTCTGTGCTGCAGTGACACAGAGCTCCGCCGTCTGGTTCTTCTGTCGGTTTTAACTTCAAAAAAGAACTAAAGCGTCTGAAATGTTGTAAAAATGTTGAAGCTGTTTTTCACCTGAGGGGAAAAAAGAAAAATCCCACTGAAGCCAGCGTGAGATTTTTAACATGTGGCTTTCAGGGAGGATTTGACGCTTGTGTTTGCTTTCAAAATAAATGAGTTTCTGCAGATAAAAACTGTTATTAACAGTGAAACGCAACACGGAGCATCAAGACTGGAGATGATTATATAATATAATCCTGAGTCGGTGCATTGATACCGAATTAGATAGTGACCAAGAGTTATCATAGAAGGTTTATTTGAAACACTCCCAAATGAGTTGAAGGTGTAGCTGTGAATCAGAAGAGGCAGCGCCAGGATTTATCTGTCGATGACGCATCACTCACCTGCTGCTTCGGATTCACTAATTCGTTTGTGAAACACGTTTTGATGTAATATTTTCTTCTTCAGACAGATTCTCTGACATGTTTTCCAGCTGTCAGGTCGGAGTGTATGATCCCAAAAGCCTGTACAATATCTTTAAGTGCATACCATTTTAAAATGAGGTTTTTGGATCAATAACATTTGGTAAATTGATGAGTTTCAGTATCTAACCTGAGGCTTTTATTGTTTTCCCACCATTGTCTTTGATGTATCGTGGAAACAGTAAAATACAGTAAACCAAAAACTAACTTTTTCTTTGGACTCTGTTAAAACAAGAAAAGTATAAGTTGTGATAAAAGTATGTGAGTGCACGCTCTGCCTGTCGAGCTGCACAGGGAATCGAACCCCCGACCCTGCTAGTGTACTCGTTGAACTACAGCAGAGGAGATTAAAGAAAGTTGAGTCCGTCCAGTAGTTTCCTCCACAGTCGCTCGGTGCGAGCTTCGCTTTAGTGGCTCCTTGGCTTCGGTTCTACATCAGTGACTCTTTGATCACGGTTAATCCGCTGAACGCGTGTTCGCCTCCCAAAGGAAATCCATTCATTTCCAAAGAGGAAATGTCTTAGTGCTGAATAAGTGACTTGGTGCCTTTTTTGGTTCTGTTGCGGATGATACAGGAAAACATTTTATCCCACACGTGCATCCGTAATGCAGCACAGATTAATGCAGCTTTCTTTTTATGTGATTAAAAAAAATGGTATTAGCGGAAAAACCAAAGTTGTAATAAAGTTTAAGTTTAAACACCGATCAGTTGAACCTCTGCAGGTTTCCTCCGGAGGATCCTGTCGTTGAACTCCTCTTGCTTTTGTTTTCAGCCAAACAACTTTGAATTAAACAGGATTACGTGCGCCGTATTAAATCAACAAGCCGCGATGGAGAGAAGAAAGGCAGTTTAATTATTTCAACTGTACTAACCCTCAGATTTCACACTAATAATCTCCTCTGTGTAAATCCCTCCACTGAAGCCAGAGATGCAGTTTAATTCTCTTTGTTACAGACGTCAAACACAGACAGTTTCGAGTGAAGTCACTTGATTTGATTAGTGAAGGGTCTGAATCTTGCACAGCATGAATTCAATTCAAGTGTGTGGGACGGATTTGTTTTCTAATTTGAGTATAAATGTCATTGTGAAATTATTCCTCTTTATCAGGGAGGGAATGTTTGAACTGGAGTAGAAATGTGTGTTTGCTTGTCAAGATCTTTCCATGACGATGCTTCGATTCAAAATCAAACAGATCTTTTACTTTGTAGTATGTTTAGAGCTCCAAAAATGTTCTCTCCTACACTACCCATAATGCAATTTAATGTGCTTCCTGAATGGTAATCGCCAAGAATCCAAAATATAAAAAATAAAAATGTAAATAATCATAAAGTATAAAAATTCTAAAAAAAATTATAATAATGATAATAAATAAGAGAATAATATAGATAAAATGGTATAAAATAAAAAATAGAAAAATCTAATAAAAATAAAATAATGAATAATAAAATATAATGAATAATATAGCTAATAAAAAATGAAAATAATAATAAAAATATAAAATAGAGAGCAGAGTTTCTATAATAGGTTTTCTTATATATGTTTATAAGGTTTCTCCAAGCCAAAGCTGCCAACCCCTGATTACATTACATTATTACATAACGTTATTATACAGCTGTTTTTGCAGACGGGAGGAGTTTATCATGAGGATTACAAGTCCTCATACACATCTGCTCGTCCAAGTCCAAAGATATTTTTGGTATCAGTATTTCATGGGGGTGGTGGTGGTGGTGGCGGCGGCGGCGGCAGAAAGCACAGTCGAGCCCCTTTGAAGTGCACAGAGCAGGCTCAGTGTCGACTTTACCCTTGACACTCATCGCCAGTGTTGTTCTCTCTCTGTCTCCCTCCTGCAGAATGTAAAGTGTGGAGAAATCCGCTGAATTTATTCCGCGGAGCCGAATATAATCGGTGAGTGGCAGCAGCTGAGCTACCTGCGTCTGAAAACCCCTCGGCCGGTCTCCGCTGTCTTTCTCCTCCCCTCCCTCTCTCTGATCTGTGTTTCCTCTCTTCTTGTTTGTTTTTATAATCAGTCCGCCTTCACTCTCCTGCCTCCTGTTTGTCATCTTTATCTGTGTTTGACGTGTGTGTGTGTTTCTGACTCATTTTCCTCACTTCGTCTGTTCGGCGTTTTTTCTCCTCAGACACTGTAGATTCATTCAAAACGCACCTCACGCCTTTTTATTAAATTCCTTCAACGTCTGGACAGACTCGGATGTAAACTGCAACTCGATTGTTTCCTCTTGAGATTTTCTTTGGTTTCTTTTTCTCCCTCCCTCCGTCTCTGTTCTCCTGTCGTTCCCCTGTTTCTCTCTCTTTGATGTGGCTGCCTCCTGTTCCGCCTGTTGAGTCATCCTCCGCTTTTCCATTTCTCATGCTGCAATTATCCCGTCCTCTTCCTCTACCTGTCAGCCCACATGCTGAGCTCCATTTCTTCACTTTGGCCAATCAGAGTCAAGTGCATTTCCCATTAAGTCAGCACAGCTTGCTCAGGTCTCTGAGTCTCTCTTTCTGTCTCTCTCTCTCCTTAATTTTGTCGTCCCTCCGGTGCCTTTCACTGGGATACTGTCGTTGTCATGTTAACGATCATTAATGCGTCTTATTTTGTCTCTTGCCGGCGCTCAGATATACGTGGGTAACGGGTCGAGAGCCGCTGACGTACTACGACATGAACTTGTCGGCGCAGGACCACCAGACCTTCTTTACCTGCGACTCAGATCACCTCCGGCCCGCCGACGCCAGTAAGAAAACACATGAACAAGCGACTGTTTTGCATATGCAGCGTTTCACAGCTGTTGTGTCTTGCTTCATGTGTTTCTGTTTGTGTTTGTGTGTGTGTGTGTGTGTGTGTGGCGGCAGTCATGCAGAAGGCGTGGAGAGAGAGGAACCCGCAGGCTCGCATCTCTGCAGCACATGAAGCTCTGGAGCTTGAAGAGTGAGTTTAACTGTCCGTTGTTGTGACACAAGCAGGTCGGACTTTACGTTTACGCCATTAAGAACAGTGAAGTGTGTTAATGCGAGAAAGCAAAAGTGTAATTGAAACAGACCATCTGTGTTTATGGTGGCGATAATTAATCACGATGGCGTTACCCAGTGAAACAACCAGGAAGTCTCTGGAGCATGTGACGTGTGAAATCGGTAGTTTTCCAAATGAATATTGAAAATTTTCCTGTTAAAACTTTTATTCGTCCAGAAAAACACAGATTGATTTTTGCTCTTTGTTTCCCGCCCAGGAGCCGCCGTACACCACAGTCGTAGTTTCAGCAATTGTTCCCAGTGAGGAGAGGGTGTGGCCACTCCGAGCGCTGCAACTTGAAAACATCTGAACTTTTCAGAAAGGCGCTGGTGTCGCCACTTGCAGCTCCGTTCAATCAGAAAGCTCCTCAATCAGACGGGGTAGGGCTCGTCACCATGGCAACCAAGAAAATGGCAGTAAAAGCCTGTTTTGGCAGTTTCTGTCAATCTGGAGTTTTTATTTATGTTGGATAGAAACTACGGCACCGAGGGTCGTTTGTCTGGTAGAGTGGATACCATGAAGGTTTAGTCCTAACCTGCAGCAACCCGAGACCCTCTGCTGCTCGTCTTCCTCTCTCTCTCTCTCTCTCTCTCTCTCTCTCTCTCTCTCTCTCTCTCACAGCAGCTATCGTAATAAAGTGCGGGAGCAGATCGGCCGGACGCTGAATCTTGTCACGCACCCACTTCCTTGTTGCTCCACAGCAGCTGTCGTATCCAGCGGCGACACGTTCATCCGTACAAAGGATGAGGGCGAAGGATAGTAATAAAAAAGCAAAAGGGGGGCGATGCCAGTCAGTCATACAGCTGTGGTGGGGGTGGTGGTGATGTGTTATTAAGATATTGTTGTCATGGAAACTAAACCCACGCTCAGTGCTTATTTTGAGGAAGTGCAGAGACGAGGCGGTTGCCCAGCACCCTGCCAACGCTACACGTCCTCATCTAGTTTAATCAAGCTGCTGGAACCAGGAAGCTGCTGCCGTCACATGGCTTTCTCACTGAAACACATCTGGAGCTGTTTGACAAAAACCTGCAGGGACGATACCTCACTGGTTGACAGCGGCTTCTGAGCCCCCGTCACAGTTTATGGCCTTAATGTGGACCAGTTTCATCACAGGGGTTTTTGTCCTCGTCGGGTTCTTAGATTCCTGAAGAGCTGCAAGTGCCACGTAAACAAAATCTTAGAGAAAAGAATTATTTTATGTAATTTTTTCTCTCTTATCCTTTTAATCATTTGGACCCTCCGGGGGTGTCCTGACCCCCAGGTTAGGAACCGTTGCTATAATCATCCATTTGGAGAGAAAGATCTTTGCTGGTTATAAAAATCAACCTTTGTTTATCACCCGACAAACAAATCGTTTTTATTTTAAACCTAAAAATTCAAGCCAAAACTCCAGACTAATAATATAATAATGAACCGTTTCCTTTGGGTCTGTAGCGTCGGTGTCTTGTGAAGTGAAGGGATGGAAGAAGCGCGCAGGTTTTCTCGTAGAGAGTGATGATGCGTCTGATCACGGATCGGCCCTCTGGGCGCCTGCATCATTCACAGAGGGGGGGGGGGACATGACGACTTCACTCGTTTTCACGGCGGCGTAGGTTTATTTTTAGGAACATCCGTGACTACAAAAGGCCGTGCGGAGGAACTGTGGCGGCGCCGCACGCCGCTCTCGGCTCGCGTCGAGGCCGTGACAGCCGCTCGACTCGTGGGAGAACGTCTTTGATCAGAGCTCTGTCAGACGCTGCGTACAGACACACGAGGCGTTTAAAGACAGGTTCATAGTGTGGAGACAAACAGCTCCATGAGCACGAGCTGCTACATTAATGAATGAACCCAGACAGGAAGTGAGGGTTTGATTCTCTGCTTGATAGGAAAGAGAAAAGAAGCGTATTCAGAGTCGACATGGAAAACTAAATAACCTTTCCTCTGCTCCCTCCTTCTTCTTCTACCTTTCTCCCTCTTTTTTCTTTTATTCCTTCCTCTCCTCCCTTCCCTTACCGCTCCTTTCCTCTTATCTCCTTATTTCTCTCCTTGCCTCTTTACTTGTTTCCTTTCCTGTTTCCTCTTCACCTCTCACCCATCTTCCTCTACTTTCCTCCCGTGCTGTTTCCTCTCTCGTGTCCTTTATCCTTTCCTCTCTCCTCCTTTCTCTTCCCTCATCTCCTTCCTTCTCCTCCTCTCTTCTGTCCATCATGCTTTCTCCTCTGCTTTCCTTTTCTCGTTTCCTCTCCTCATGTTTCCTCCTGTTTCCTCTCCCCCCTTCTCCTCTCCTTCTTCTTCCTTTCCGTTTCTCGTTTCCTCTCTTCATGTCTCCTCCTGTTTCCTCTCCTCTCCTCCTGTAGTTGTGCGACAGCATACATCCTCCTGGCGGAGGAGGAGGCCACCACCATCATGGAGGCCGAGCGTTTGTTTAAACAGGCACTAAAAGCTGGAGAGAGCTGTTACCGGCGCAGCCAGCAGCTCCAGCACCACGGTACACAGTACGAAGCCCAGCACAGTGAGTGTAATCCGCTCAGTATCAGCACGGCTAATAATCACACACGCTCTTTCATTTCATCACTTCCTGAGCCATGAAATCACATTTAAAGGAGAGATTTGATGATTCTCTTTAGCTTGTAAATATCTCATCTGCAGCTTCACAGATTCGCTGCTTCATTATTCTTCCAATTTCATGATGAGAGCGTGAAATGATGTAAAGAGTGATGTGTGTGTGTTGAATTATTTGTGTGTGTGTGTGTGTCTTCACCAGGAAGAGACACTAATGTGTTGGTGTATATAAAGAGAAGACTGGCCATGTGCTCCAGAAAGCTCGGCCGAACACGAGAAGCAGTAAAAATGATGAGAGATGTAAGTACACACCCTGCCAGCAACACACACACACACATACACACACACACGCACACACACTCACACACACACACACACACACACGCACACGCAGAAGGTTTCAGTTTAATTTCCAGTGTCGTTCACTCGGGTCTCAGGGATTTAACCAGACAATTCACTGTAACTGACCCAGAGCTGTTGTCTGCTGACTGACTGACTGTGCATGTGTCGCCCCCTGTCCGGTATTACATGTAACAACAGTTGTGTGTTTTCCAGTTAATGAAGGAGTTCCCTCTCCTCAGTATGTTCAACATCCACGAGAACCTGCTGGAGTCGCTACTAGAGCTCCAGAACTACGCTGACGTGCAGGCCGTTCTGGCCAAGTACGACGGTGAGGGAGACACACACACACACACACACACACACACACACACATAAAAGTTGATTTTGATATCAAGATACCCAACCACATCCCAGGGCTCTCTCTGGTTGCAGTGTCTCCTCTGAATGTGAAGCTCAGTCCCAGTTTGTTTGGGTCGTTACAGCTGAAATTAATGTTGTTTTTCCAAAGAAAACACACGTAATTACCCCCCCCCCCTTTACACAGTTAACATCTGTCCGACATAATACTTCAGTTCAGTGAGTAAAGTTGCCCAGAGTTTAAAACCAGTGTTTTAGAGCTGTCACTTCTGAAACAGTTCATTAGCTTCAGCTCCTCGACCTCCGGGGATCATTACTGCTGCTAAACAGCGTTTCCATTTTATGCTGCACTGCTTTATTATTATTATTATTATTATTATTTATTTTATTTTTTTAAAGTTTTTAATTGTCTAATTGTTTCATTTTTAATTTAGAGATGAATTAAATCGTGCGGAGCTGCACTCGTGTCGCAAATGCTGCTTTTGTTTTCAGATTTAATCAGGTTCAGTTCAGCAGCACAACTGGTCTGAATTCATGGGGGGGGTATTAAGGGGGGGGGTGGGGGGTTGTTCGAAGCGGCAGTAGAGGCCGTATTAAACAGCCAGAGCTTGAACAATTAATCCGTTAGTTAAATGGCAGGAAAATTAATTGGAGACTGTTTTTCATAATGAAGCTTAAATGCCAAACGCTTCCTGAGTTTCGGCTTCGGGTGTGTGCGGCGGTTCCACGATAATTAACCGTTAGTTGCCGCCCTGGTGCCGACACGCACGTGGACAGGTGCTGTGACAAAGACACACCTGAGTATCTCCTCGTTCGTCCGTGTCAGCGCTCTGGAGAACACGTCGGCCTCGTCGTCAGCGTCACGTTTGACATCTGTGAAAATACGGAGTCAAAGCCGTGAAACCCAAACTCATTATCTTCAGTCTCTGCGGCCCCGCCCCCTTCCTCCTCCTCTGTTTCACCTGTAACTCCAAACTTTGTTGCTGCATTCACTAAACACCCCCCCTCCCCCCCTCCCTCCCCCTGTCTCTCTCCATGTCTGCTTTGTGTCTCCTCCACAGATATTAGCTTACCCAAATCTGCAACAATATGCTACACAGCAGCCTTGCTCAAAGCGAGGGCGGTATCCGACAAGTGAGTATCGCTTTCCTTCAGCTACAATGCTCAAACAGGGAGGGGAGGGGGGAGGGTCGGGGGTGGGGCGGTGGGGGGTGGCACACAAAACCAATACTGTCAGGGGGTTTTTACATTTAGATCATGAAACAGTCTCAGTCTCAGCGACAGGCCGCGCACGCTGTCCATCAGTCACCGTGACAACTGTCCCTCAGACAAAGGCCCTGTTCAGACCTGGTTTTAGCATCCATCCCACAGGTGCTCAGCTCCTCGGATTCAAACAGCACAGTATAAAACTTTATTCTCTCTCTGAAAACAACACTGAATACGTGTTTATTTGCATATGAAGTTGGGGCAGTGAGAGCTGATCACAAGCAGAGACGCTGGAGACGCCGAGGTCTGAACGGGGTCGATCCACGTCTGTCATTAACCCGGCGAGCAGGAGGAGAAACGTGCGAGACAAACCCTCAGCTCTTTAACAGAGATTCATGTTGATGCAGCTGTGTAGCGATGACTGACGAGTGTCTGTATTCAGCGCCGCAGGAGTCGCTTTTCTAAATCACACTGATCATGTAGTGACTGAGTGAGAGTCCTGATGTGTGTGTGTGTGTGTGTGTGTGTGTGTGTGTGTGTGTGTGTGTGTGCAGGTTCTCTCCAGAGGCAGCGTCCAGGCGAGGGCTGAGCACAGCAGAGATGAACGCAGTAGAAGCCATCCACAGAGCGGTGGAGTTCAACCCTCACGTCCCCAAAGTGAGTCTCAGAGGGACGCTACACACACACACACACACACACACACACACACATACACACACACACACACACACATACACACACACACACACACACATACACACACACACACACACACACACACACACCTGCTGAGCTCATGCTGTCGTCACAAGCTCACCGTGTCACAGCCACTGACATGACACGCGACTGGCTACGAGGGAGAGTTGTTCTCGCCGGTGCGGACGTTAAATGACCTTTGACCTCTGTGGCTGAAACCTCTTGTCACTCATCAGCTGAGTTACAGAGCAACATGAACACACAGAGTCTGTGATGGTGACGTCCATGCAGCTTTAGTTAATGATAAACATATTTCCTACAACTTGACCGATTGACGGAGGCGTACGATCCTATCCTGTTCATCATCATCATCATCATCATCATCATCACCTGTCTTTGTTCCTCTCTCCTCCTCCTCCTCCTCCTCCTCCTCCTCCTCCTCCTCCTCCTCAGTATCTGCTGGAGATGAAGAGTCTGATTCTTCCTCCAGAACACATCTTGAAGAGAGGCGACAGCGAGGCCATCGCCTACGCCTTCTTCCACTTGCAGCACTGGAAAAGGGTGGAGGGGGCGCTCAACCTGCTGCACTGCACCTGGGAGGGCAGTGAGTACACACACTAACACACACACACACACACACCTACACACACACACACAGTTTCTGTCTCATCAGCTGTCCCTCGTGTGTGTGTGTGTGTCTTGTAGCGTTCAGAATGATCCCGTATCCTCTGGAGAAGGGTCACCTGTTCTACCCTTACCCCATCTGCACAGAGACGGCCGACAGAGAGCTGCTACCCAGTAAGAGACGCCCTGACACACACACACACACACACACACACACACACACACACACACACAAGGTGTATTTATTCAGTAGAAGGCAAAAAAACCCAGAATTAATTAGTAAAAGTTTGTGTTGGAGTTTGTTTTATGATAAAATTGTCGAGATGAATTCATGTAGAAGTTTAACGATCAGTTACAGCAGCATTATTCAGTTTTTACTTTGAGTAATTATGTGAATTCCAAAGTCTAGCACAGAAATGTTGTGGTTAGATTTGTCACTAATAATTGTGATGACGAGACAAATTCCTGAAGAGAGCGCCTGTGTGTGTGTGTGTGTGTGTGTGTGTGTGTGTGTGTGTGTGTGTGTGTGTGTGGTCGTTGGCTGACGTGGACTGTGTGTCGTCCTGCTGTCTGCGCGGCAGCTCGTCTGTCCTCACACAGAAACCTGCTCCTGATTAATTTGGCCTCCGGCCACCGGCAGCAACACACTGTGTGTGTGTGTGTGTGTGTGTGTGTGTGTGTGTGTGTATATGTGTGTGCGGCAGGGTGGATGTTTGTTTACTGCTTGTTACGTCACGTTGCTGCTGCGAGTTTAAACCCTGAGTTTATTTTGAAAAGGGGAAAATGATTCTCCCACATTTCTGAAAAATGTGGAGCGCGTGGAGCCGAGCAGACGTTCACTCACCTGTCACTCACAGCGGCCACGCCCTCATTTATACATAACTTTGAGCCTTAATAAAATGTAAACAGGTGAGTTATATAAACTGCAAACTTCTGAGACCAGAACTGTTTTTGCTCCAGGCTGTAAACATGTTTATTTTTGCTGTAAAGTTGGACACTTGAACATGGGAGTCTGTGGGGATTGACTCTGTGTTGGAGCCAGACTCTAGTGGTCGTTGGAGGAACTGCAGGTTTTGGTTCGGCACTTGGACTTGACCCTTTGCTGCAGGACTGAAGATAGTTCTTTAAACCTTTTGGCCACAGCTCTGAATGTGAGGTGCTGCAGTGTGGAGGAGGAGCCGTGTGTGTGTTTACAGTGACCTGATCAGACGTGTCTGTTTACATACGACTGCACTGCAAAACCTTCCTTATCAACACAGCAGATGAAGAGTGCTGGCTGTTGAAGCAGCTTGTTAAATCACTTTGAATGAAACAATTTCATCCTCCACAAATCTTATTAGAGACTCACCCGACCAGAAAAATGCTTGTGTCTGTGTTTTTTCCTCTTAAGTCGACTCTTATTTAGTGTGTGGTTTATTTTTGACCTCAGAGAGATAACCACACTTTATTTTTTTCCTCTGGATGTTCTTTCTCTTCTAAACCCCGACTGACCGTCTGCTCTGGGGATTTTCAGCTTTTAGTTTCAGCAACTTTAAATTCAGGAACTTTATTTTGTTGCAGACTTTGAAAATTGAAGCATTTGGTTAAAAACATCCTGTAAAATAAACTATTTGCTGCACATGTTGTAACTGAAATCTAAACTTTAAATAAATGGTTATGAAGTTCATTTTTGGATGTGTGTGAAGCCATTGTTTGCTCTAGACTAACATTATGTCATGTGTTTGTGTGTGTGTTTGTGTGTGTGTGTGTCTGCGCGTGTGTGTGGAAGCAGTGTTTCACGAGGTGTCAGTCTACCCAAAGAAGGAGCTGCCCTTCTTCATCCTCTTCACAGCCGGTCTCTGCTCCTTCACCGCCATGTTGGCTCTGCTCACACACCAGTTCCCTGAGCTCATGGGAGTGTTTGCTAAAGCTGTGAGTACACACACACACACACACACACACACACACACACACACTCAATAACTTCTCCTCCCTTCTCTTGAAGTTTCAGACTCAGAGAAAATGAGACTTGTAGCTGCAGGATCACGGCTCTGTGTCTCTTCAGCAGAGAATGAATTCTGAATGGTGTCGGTGACCTCTGACCTTTTCCCCCTAGCATGAAACTTTCCTCTTAACCTTCACTTTGACCAACGACAAGGGAGCAGCATCAGTTCCATAACATCAGCTGGATGCATGAATATTAATTAGTTGCCCTCTGACCTCTCCACGGATGTCTGTTTTCCACCTCATAACCCAGCAGCTGCATTAATATGAAATTTGCTCCAAACTGATTTGAATCCAATGACCCCGTGACCTTTCCTGCAGCGCCTGCAGCCACTCAGTCAGACTCGACATTTGAAAGTCATTTAAATTGTTCTGCAGGCCCAGTTTAATCATGCTGTGCTGTGCCGTGCCAAGCCAAGAAGACATGCTGCGGCCTCACGGCGTGGGGGGGAGTAACCGACGTTTCATCACATGCTTTACAACCCGGAGAGGAGCGTTGAGTTCAGTTTGGAAGCTGTTAGATAATTAATTTCTACAGAAGCTGCTTCAAGTGAAACGTCAGCGCTGAGCCCAGAGCCGCCTGCAGCGCCTCCTCCTGCATGTTTTCACTGCAGCCAGTGGAGGGCGCTGCCTCCCCTGCCCCTCCCTGCAGCCTGCAGCGCTGTGCTGCTCCCCTGGAATGTGGGTGAGCTCATCTCTCCCCCCTGATGTGACACTATCAGCATCTACCATCTACCTGCTCAGACACACACACACTTATATAGACACAGGCCTGTGCATTCATACTATAGGTGTGAATGTAGGTATCTACCAATCAATTTATCAATCAATCTGAAACCAATAAAGTAAAGATTTTTTTCTTTTTTCTTTTTTTCTCCGTGGAGCCATTCCTCAGCAAACGCCACGTGTCGTGCTGTCGTGTTTGTAGCTGCTGTTCAGGTCGTCATCTTCTACCTGAAGTGATCACATGACAGCTAGCGGTCACGAGTGCACAGTTAGGTGACCTCATGTAGTTCCCAGCCTGGCTCCGCCCACCTCTTAACCTGACAACAGGTGCGATCTGGAGGTGGAAACGTGTCCGACCCGGGGCCAGGTGCATGAAAGAGAAGTTGGTTACAGAATAAGCCGAGACACGTAATTTAACATGAAATAAAACCAACTTCACGGAGCTTCATTCATTATCCTCATTATAAGTTTTAAATTCATAAAGGGAAATAATTGCGTTAATGTTCAGAAAGTTTCCTTTAGCATTTTAATATTTATTGTGAGACATCCAATTCCAGAGTAAAACGGTGAAATTGCGCTTCTTGCACAAACTATTTAGTGACGGACGGTTTTGCTGTGTCAGTAAAAACGAGTCCGCTGCTCATTGTGACTGACACACGAAACTGACAATCCAATCAGCTTGTTCCCCTGGAGCAAATCTCAGATCAGTGTGAATGTGACATTAGGAAATAAACTGAATGTGTTGTATGTAACTGACGTTTCGGTCTGAAGGATCACGTCGTGGCCGACACCCTGTTCCACTTAATAATAAGTCTGGTATGGACACGGCATCCCTGCTGTTTGTCCTCCAGGACAGTCTCTGCGCTGCTCGCCCACACACAGTTCACACACACACACACCTTCACTTTGAAGCTGAAACACAGATGCTGCGATACGACGTGTGTCTTTGTGCTTTTCAAACACACAAACCACCGACGACCAGGCAGATGCCTGCAGGTGGAGGAGAGCGCGGCGCAGACCCTGTCGTGGCTTTTATCTGTCGTCGGACAAAGTGGGAAACCTCCATGACCTCCATGTTGCTCTGGTGGAGCCCCTATCACCCCCCCCCCCCCCCCCCCCCCCTTCACTGGCTGTTGCCAAAACACCAAGCAGAGACTGAGGCCTGACATAAGATGTTGGGCCACCAGGAGCTGAACGCTGCTCAGGTTTCATGAAGAGCGACTGTTTTTTAGTTTGTGTTACTTCCTGTTGACTGTTGGTCGTGTTTGTGTCTCTGCAGTTCCTCAGCACGCTGTTTGCTCCTCTCAACTTCATCATGGAGAAGGTGGAGAGCATCCTGCCGTCCAGCCTCTGGCACCAGCTCACCCGCATCTGACCCCGATTCCGACCGCACCCAGGAGCAGAGAACCAGAACCAAGAACCAAGAACCGGGAGCCGACCTCCACCCAGACAGAAACAGCTGAACTGAAACCCAGAACGCTGCATTGGACTGAACTGACACACTTTTGTGCCAAGAGTCGAAACCAAACAGGCGACAGGAGGAGGCGCGACACGCAAAGACAGCAAAACAGAGGAATCCAGAATCGGTTTTGACTTTATTTGATAGGTTTGCATTTTTTTTTTTGTTTTTTTTTTTGTTTTTCAATCATTTCAAGCTGTTCTTTTGTTTTTCAAAAGAAAGTGATAAATTGCCAAACCACACAGAATAGACGGCGACGACAGGAGGAGGCGTCAGACACAAAGAAAGCAAAACAGAGGAATCCAGAATCGGTTTTGACTTTATTTGATATGTTTGCATTTTTTGGGTTTTCAATCATTTAAAGCTGTTTTTTGTTGTTCAAAAAAAAAAAAAGAAAAAAAGAAAAAAAAAAAAAGGTGATAAATTGCCATCATTAAAAAAGTGAAAAGACAAAAAAATACAATAAAGGACTTTTTGTGTATTGCTGCAAGCAGCTTCTTCCCGCCATTTTGATTCACACACAGTTTAACAGCAGAAAAAAAAAAACGAGCGCCATCAGCAGACGGAACCATCGGCCGGAGCCGCCGGGTGTTTAACATGTCGTCTGCATGTTGGACAGCGGCGTAAAAAACAAAACCCTGGTAAGTTTTTAAACAGTTCATCCTTCACATGTTTCTCTCATCTTCTGACGCGTGTTTTTCATCCACAAACTAACGTCTCACTCCACAGGAAGAGGAAGAGTTTTCACCAGCACTGACCTCAAGTCTGAGACGAACCCGGTTCTGGTTCTGAGACACCAAAAGCTCAAACGTGATGAAATGTGTCTGCGAGGACTGAGAGGACCAGTGTTTACTACAGAACAAGCTGCGCTACTTTAGAAACTTGAACATATTTTTGTCCTTCTGGTCCAGACAGACGCTGGTTTTCAGGTTCATATTAATCAAAGGTTCATTCAGGGTCGTGTCATTTTGATGAATATAAATACAGACTAAAAACAAAAAAAAAAACAAAACATACACAGCTCAAACAAGTCTCATCAGTGTGATAATAGATTTTGCTGTCGGGACAGAAGGACAAAATCATCCAAAAGTCTAAAATTAAAGTGTGAATTTGAAAATTACCAGTAAAGACGTTCAGTGTTCTTGATTTGTAGGAAAAACAATCAAAAAATAAAATAAAATCCTCAGTGATTTAGTTGCTGAGATCTAGGAAAATGTCACAAAACTGCAAAAAAGTAAAACAGAAAACACAAGCAAAGCAGAATTTCAGTGTGCGGCCACATTCCCCCGTCTCAGCGGTTACCATGGCGAAGTGTGACGTCACTAATGCTGATGTGAATCATCATCAAAGAGTTGCAAGAAACCAGCAGGATTTTTCTTTTAACGCGTCACTTTGAAGCTGCTGAACGAACAAAAACAAAAACAAAACAGAGACTCGTTTTGTTGCAGGAGGAGTCGATCACTGGGGGACGTGCAGTCTGACAGTTAATGCTTCCATTCACTATATATCTGATTTTTAATTTACACAAGCACATATTTACATAATCACAAACAAAGCCCTGTGTGATCTGACTATAAACAAGCTGTGTCCACACTCCAGACTAATTCAGACTTTCTCGTGTTTAAACCTGGACGCAGGATGAGCGATATATTCTGGGGAGTTCAGATTTGTATCAGCTCACAGATTGAGGTCGTCCTGTGTCACGGATCTTTCTAGACACAACACAAATAAACCTCAGACACTTTTTACGGACTTGAGAGTAAATAAATACAATGGGAGGATAGAGGATTTGCTGCGTCTCTAGATGACACAGGACAGGAATTTTAGCTTTTTAAAAACCAGGTTTCAGTGTGAAGGAGTTTGTATCTATTGATATACTTTAAAATAAATGCACAGCTCACTAGTGAACCGGTGGATGAAGCTTCTACTGATCATCTGGAAGCTCTTGTCAAGGCAGCAGCTAAAGACGGCGAGAGTGAAGAGGAGTCGCCTGCAGAGCCAGACTTCCACAGAGAATCGACATACCTACTGTTTGATTGACAGGTGATCGGGCGACAGAATCGAGGCCAAAAGACGGACTCAAGAATATCCTGTGAGTGTCGCCTGTAATGTGACGACAGAGGGAGGGTCTGCAGCCCAGCAGGAGAGCGGTGGCGGTGGTGGTAATGGGAGCCAGTGTGACTGCTGGTGTAGTAGTGGTCAGTAGTGTTCGGTGGCGGCGGCGGCGAGGTCACGTCTGGCCCTTGCAGGTGTGGACGTCGACCTGCTGGTGGCAGTCGCGGCAGTGCACGGCGCAGCACCAGTGGAACTTGCACTCGCACTTGGTGGTGCGGCTGACCCGCGACGTGTCGTACCCTCGACCGCAGCACATCACCTCGCAGCCGTCCACGCCGCGGGACGTCCGGTTACAAACCCGGCCCCCCGTCCCCATCGAGCCTGGAGCGAGAGAGAGAGAGAGAGACAGAGAGAGAGAGAGGTCAGTTTGCTGAAAAGACAATGTATTTGCTTTTATACAATATTCAAACTCCTTATTTCATCTGGATCTTTAAATTATAACAGGGAAAAAAATTAAATCCATTTTCTTGCTCTTTTTAAGAAAAGACTGCAAATTTGTCTCTTGACTTTCTACCACTGTCTCTTTGCATCTTTTAGCAGGAAGAAATATGAGGGTGAAACAAAGCAGGTCTTATTTAACACCTCAGATCTTCTGTTAAAGAAAACATCCCAAAATATCCCAATTATTTTCTCATCAGTTGAAATGTTGGACAGAAAGAAGATCAATCTCCCTCCACTAGTTTGTGCAAAATATAAATCAGTCCAAATGCAAATTTAAGTCTTTGAACGCTCCTCAGATCAATGTCCACACCCTCAATTTTTTGTTTAATTATTTCTCTGTCATAGATTCAAATTGCCTTCTCTCATATAAGATATTTAAATGAGGTATTTATCACTCTGATGGCTCAAGACCCTAAAGACCCTAAACTGACCCTCTTTGCTGTAGGACCCCAGGGAACCTCCTCGAGCACCCTCACTTTGAGAACCACTGTGTAATAAGACAATCGCGACAAAAGAAAAAACAATTAGCCAAGTACATAAAACACTAGAAATGATACACGTCCACTTTTCTTTCATGCGACAGTGAAAATCTTTTTCCCACTGATCCATTAGTTTTATTCAGTAAATGTAAAAACGCATTTCAGCCGTTTCCCTCCAGATCGACGTCGGGACAGTTCGACTCCTACACTGACAATTATTCCAGGTTAAACAGGCGAGAAGCGTCCTGGGAAAATCACTCAGGATTTCACAGACGTTTCACCGTAAAGTGACCCTTTCCAAAAGTGCAATCAGGAATGTGACCCGGCGAGAATATGAGCCACAATTTGCCCAATCAGAGCGGTTTTATTGGTCATCGGGAGCCAATGGGAGCGCAGTGAGGATGAGACAGGAGGGGGCTGGGTAAGATGATGAACGGTAAGACGACGGAGAGATGAGAGATTGATGATAGGAGCCGTCAGGGCCGCGCTCCCGCTCTTCATCAGCTGTTCATTTTATAGGAGACACACACACACACACACACACACACACTTCACTGCAGACGTCTGCAGAGGTCACGGTTGTTGTTATGTTTGTTTTCTTGTCGTCACATCAGAATTATCTGAACAAACCCAAACTGGATTTTTTAAAAACAATAATAATAATTAGTACATGAAAAAAAACCAGCTGAAACAACTCGTCTGTTACTCGACTGAATATTCAAATCAAATTAAATCAAACTTATTTATAGAGCACATTTGAAAACAGCAAACAGCTGACCAACGTGCTGCTAACAACAACAACAACAACAACAACAACAGAAACAAGCCGGCAGAACAAACGCCTGTAAATCTAAATAAATACATAAAATTAAAAAGGTACAAAAGAATCAAGAATCTCTTTTTGTGGAACATGTTTCGCCAGTTATCTTGGAAAATTTTCTTTCAGGTGGATTTTTACTGGCTCTGATTTTGAAGACGTCACGTTTGACTCAAGGAAACAGCGACGGGGATTTATCGACCAAATCGTTAACTGATTATTCTTCTGATTATTTTCTTAATTAAATGATAATGAGAATATTTGTTAAATGCAGTTTTTACTTAAACGTGTGTAGCTCTGATACGGTCCCGTGTTAGAGTCACTAACTCTTACATTTAAACTGCTGACAAACGTCACAGCATCAGGATGTTTTAGGGAATTTTTTGTTTTGTTTGTTTTCGGTGAAATCAGCAACTTCCATCAGCTGACGTTAAAAATACGAGCAGGACAGCGAGTGTTGGTTATAGATCGTCACCACATCACAGTCTCACGTTTTTGTCTGATGGCCGTGAGAAGAACGTTTGGGTTATCACCTCCAGATTTCCCGACAGATCACGAGAAGTCGGATCCTGTTGTGTCGAATTAAAAGATAAGATCGTTCTGTAATTAAGACAAATGCAAAACAAGAAGGAATCAGAACCTCTCCGACACGTCTCAACAAAAACTCACTACTCTCAGCTTCGCAAACCGCCAACAGCGTCTGCAGGCGAGGCCGCAGGGCGCGATTACATCTACACGGCTCTGCAGACCCAGAGTTTTGAAAAGTGTAATAACGAGCTCTAGTGAAGCTGTTGATGACATGAGCACAGACGGCTGGACAGAGCGCCGTTATCAACAACACAGACGCACCGATGGGCTTCCGAGGCGTTACTTCCTGTTTCAGACTCAAGTTGTTGACAGTTGTGAGGGCTTCTGAAATTGTTTATGAAATTAAGATAAAAATAAGGGAAGGAAGTAGTTTTTAAAAATAAGAAAATAAAGGTCTGTGATTTCTGTTTCTTACAGGTCTGATATTTCCTGTTCAGTTCTGTTCAGCCAGCGGAGGAACGAACATGTTACTGTGTGACTGTGAAGTGTGTGTGTGTGTGTGTGTGTGTGTGTGCGCGTGTTCGTTCAGCTGACTTCTCCTGTATAAATAAAAAGGGTTTTAGAAAAAAAGTGATGCACTGACTTCAAGTACCATCTCGAACGTTGTTCTGGAATTTGCTCGTGTTTACATTGTGCTTCACTCTGTGTGTGTGTGTGTGTATGTGTGTGTGTGTGTGTGCGCACCGTCTCTGCACCATTCCCTCGCCAGGTAATATGTCTGGGCATGACCTGAAGCCACGCCCCTCTCTGGCAGCGAGCCCGCCCGTCATCCGCGGTATGCTGCGCTGCTAGGGGTGACATCACGGCCAGAGTCTTCCTCGCAGCGCTCGCCTCTCTGCGTCTGCTTATTGAATTAAGATGAGGGGGCGCCGAGAGATGAGTTTAGCACCTGAGCCTCGCCGGGGCCGAGGGAAATT